TTGCTAATACTTTCACAAAAATCGCCATTTTTTAACATTTTCTCTGTTTTTGTTATTTTTTTTGTGCCTTATAACAACTATATTGAACAATTTATATTGAGCTCGAGGCCGTTTTTTTTTAATGAAAATTTATTGTGGAAAAGCAACAATAATTTGAAAAAATGGTAGAAGTGATAGCTATTTCTATTTATTTCTTTTTATAATCATATATTATGCAATTTAACACAATAAAACCACGTTTCCTGCCGAAAAATTTATTACTGAGAAAATTTACTATTTTACAGTTTACTTTATCCTCCCATTCGGCTTTGTTTACTTTTACTTGAGAAGTTTCTTCGTCGCCGGAATCTTGTATTATATTATTCTTGTTACCATATAGTATTTAGTGTTGGACAATTTTTGCTCTTTAAATTAAGAAAATTATGTCAAGCAATAATAAAATTACTCAAAAACGCTAATATGTGGTAGATTTCAGACCTTGAGTGGTAGATGCTAAATAAAGTGGCAGATCTACCACAATGTGGTAGAAGTCCGATCACTGATGTACATACATATGTACACATGGACGTAAATAAAAAACAATACCGCAGTATCTTTCAAAATATCTGTATTACAACCTAACCTAATATAAGCTTAAATTAGTGGTGACATAAAACCATAAGTCCATAACCATATAAATCCGCTGTTCCAACCAACACGCCATAGCCATAACCAGGGCCGTCGAGAGTGAACTCGGGCCCGGAACTAAAAAAATACGGGCCCCTAAATACAAAGTGTATAAAATTAAAAGCCGAGGGGAGCAATTTTTTTTTCTAAGGATTCGCAGATTTTTTATTATATCTGGGTCATACATATTCTAAGGTATCAAACAATATAAATATTTACAAGAATCTCTCAAACATGAAAATTCACCTAATCATGAGACATCTTTAAATTAGTGAAAATTGAAAAACCACAACATGAAATTAAGGGTTGTTTATATGTAAGGGCCACCATTTTTGCATTATACTTGCTTCTCTTCGATTGCCCTGTATGACTTTGAAGTTAATAAAAAAGTATTCGACAAACTAATCAGTGATTAGCTTTCTTAATGAAAATAAAGTCGGCATCATTTTTTAAGGTAATGTCCAAAATATCAAAAAGTTTTTTTTTTGGCGCGGAATCCACTAGGCTAAAAAAAGGAGAAGTCTGGTTTTCTTTGAGAATTTCGGCCTCCTTCATAATAAAGCTATTTGATACTCTTCATTATGCATGTGTTTTCGCTGCAAAACTATTTGTAACGTAATAGAATTATTCATAAAAATTAAGTAGCTTTACAAAAGGTTTATAAATTGAAAAAAGTCAATTTATAAAGCCTTTTAATTTTAAACCTCCTTCAGTTTTTATGAATAAGGCCATACGTCTTTTTACTAATTAAATTTTCAGGTAAAAATATTTTTTTTATTTAGTTAAAGATAGGGCTCATTTGAAAGCAATATTGTAAGCTACTCAACGTGCCATTGACCCATAGTTAAAATTTATATTCTTTCTAACTCAAATAGGCTCAGAAAATAAAAATTACGTAGAAAAATAAAAAAACGCGAGAATTATGTTATTTCAAAAAGGAACGAGCCCAAAAGAAGCAAAATAAGAAGCTAAACGAAGAAGAAGATTTTCTGATTAAATAGTAAAAATCTATTAAAATTATTTCAAGTATTTTTCTAGTACTATTATTTTCCTTCAAAATGCACTCTCGAATGGTGCAATAAGATTTTTCCTTCAAAAGTTACGGTCATTTAAACTGCCGTGTCCTCGAATCTAACATCGCCACACCAATTTTGAAGGGCTAAAATAGTACTAAATGGCATAGAGCAAGCAAAAGTGGCCATTGAAAATCTCAATATCAATATCAATCAGCACGAATCGGAATATATTTATATTATTGTTATTCTGACATTTCGGGCCCCTTAAGAAGCCCGGGCCCGGAGGCTCACCCCTTTTCCCCCTCCCTCTCGACGGGCCTGGCCATACCCATAGCTATAGAGACCAATTAAATTTTGGTTTTCCGCCATAACCATAATCAGCTGATATCTGAAGTGCGAGTAACGCACACGCAACACCCTCCACAAAAAAATTCTAAAAAATCAAAGGTAATTTTTAGAGACTTGAAACTTGCACATTGTTTTACTACAATTTAACGGGCTTTAAGACTGCATACTCGAAAATTATCTAGATATTCGTTGTCAGAATTCCACTGCAGTATGGCAATAAAAATTAACAGAACAGCTGCAGCGAGTGCTGCATATTTCAAACAAGCGGATAGCCAAAGGCCCAAGCGGTGAAAAAGAGCCCATATTTGGTATATTTGTACCACAGTGGCAGCCGTGGTTATGGCGTTATGGTATGTCACTACTAATTTAAGCTATAAACGCACGCCATAAAATAGGGGTATTCACGAACCGGTGCATACTGTCTAGCATGCTGCATAAATAGCATAAATAACATGATTGTTGTTGTTTCATGTGTTCAAACAACAACAAAATTAGCCAATCATGCTATTTATGCTATCTATGAAGCATGTTAGACAGTGTGCACCGGATCGTAATACCCCTTATTTTTTTTTTTTTTGTGTCACCCGAGATTGGCTTGTGCGCATTTGCATTTGATTTCACTGAGCGAAACGTCAAATCAAAATCTCATGCAAAACAAAAATCGGAAATTGAGTTAACTTTTTACGCACGCTGCCAATTTCGGTTGGTCGCATGAGAAATCTTTGACAGTAAATTGCCGGCGTGCGTGAATATTAGGTTGGCCTGTTAACTTCCTGTTTGTGTGTATTTTCTCTCCTCTCTCTCTCTCCGCAAACTAGATCCTGTTATTTGCCATTCCCTCTATGCTGGGATTGAGAATGTCGAGTCCAGCATTCAATCCTACATCAACTTGAATATGCACAAGTCTTATCAATACCTTTCGATGTCCACCTTCTACAACTCCTACCAAAAGAATCGTCCTGGCTTCACCAAGCTCTACAAAGAAATGTCGGACCGCTCATTCGACGATGCTATCGAGCTGATTAGGCATGTCACCCGCCGTGGCGGTCAAGTTGACTTCCGTGCTATTAGCCAACACCCCAACTCGGTTGCTAACAGCAAATTGAAATTGGAGGAAGATGAATTGCACTCATTGGGCATCGCTTTGGATGTTGAGAAGACCTTGACCGACGGTGCCACCCATGTGCACTACGAAGCCACCCATGGACGCCCACATGACCCACAAACCGCTCATTTCGTGGAGGAGAAATTCTTGGGCAGACAGGCTGAGTCCATCCGCAAGGTTTCCGGCTATGTCAACGATTTGTCGAAGATCATGAACAATCCCGACCCCTCATTGGGTGTCTACCTGTTCGACCAGTACTTGGAAAAGCAGTAAGCGCCAGCATCGCAGAGTAAAGCACGTAGCGATTCGGATGTTTTGAATTGCTGTTGATTTGAAGTTCGTGCGGGAGACCGACATATATCCTTCGACTATGAAACTATACGTATTTCTTTAACTGCAAACAACCGATACGGAAACATTGTAATTAAATTTTATATAAAAACATGCAGATTCCAGTTGAGCGCATTTACATTAGTACATACATATGTGCATATGTATATTATTTATGGCAGTAAATTCCAACAAAACTCTGCTTTGACACAAACAAAGGCGCATCTTCAAAACAGTTCATTTATTTAGTATTAGAACCGAGTGCTATCAAATTTTTAAAAATTAAAAATTACATATATTAAACGAAACTTAAAAATATATAAAATCTCCTTTCTTGTGTATTTGATATTTAATTGTGATACTCGGTACTCGAAGCTCTTTAAAAATAAATTCATAAATATGCGAGCGACAAACAAAATACTGAGTTGTCTTCATTAAACATCATTTTTCACTGAGTTTCTTGTTCTCATAAATGCATGTATGCATTCATATATGAATGTGGATCTCGAGCTACCATACCTGCAAACCATTTTTTCAGAGTTTTCTGAATTGTTGAGAAATTTTACAGAATTCGTAAAGAACTCATCCGATTTTACGAAATTTCGAAAGAAAATGGGTAAAACAATGAAAATATTTCTGCTACACATGTGAAGAATTTCTTGCAGAATTTTTTCAGAATTTTCTTTATTTTTTGAACAGAATTTTTTTCACGAGCTGGTGGCAACCACTTCATATAAATTTCTTTGAAGATTCGTAAAAAAATTGTTACAGAAATGAGATATTCCTAAAGATTTCGGGAACTTTGGTTTGCAGGGATGTCAAACCATCGGATGTGAAAATGGGAACTTTTCAGGAGAGCAATAAAACTGTTATAAAAAATATTGTTGTCATT